TTAGCGAGAATGGTGAACAGTGAGGAAGAGAAAGGAAAGATGGTAACGGAAAGTTAAGTGTAATTAACGGACAGTAACAGAAGTTAAAGGGTGTAACGGAGTGTGCAAAAAATAAGGGTAAATCTACCATTATCCAATATTTTAATATAAATATTAATATTTTAAAATAAATATTGATATTCTAATACCTTGGTTCTTGGTTCCTACCCTTGATAAAAATATTCACAGCTTGAAATCCATACCTAAGTTACGAGCTGAAATTCAACATTGTTCCACTCATAATAACTCTCTGGTAATTATGTAATATAGGTTGGGATATCATATGGGGCCAACACTGTTGCAGCACTCAAACCTACAAGAATGCCTGAGAACAAAGACAAACTGATTGTGGTAAAAGTGTGATTTTCCCCCAACTCTAGTCGGAGTTGGACCAAACCTTTTATGTGTTAGCAATACTTTTCTTTGATAATTAAGATAAGCTTATTGGTTCATAGCATACAGAACTTATCTTATTATTTAGCATAAATGTAACTTAGTCATAATCCTAAGCATGACATCTTATTGGTTTAAATGTCAAATGGTTCATGCAAGCTTCGGAGAGCGATACTTGTCATCCGTCCTGTTTGAGGAGCTGAGGAGAGAAGCCGGAAACATGCAACCAGTTCCAGTTGACTAATGCCTGATCAATGTTATTGCATTTTTATCAATTCTGATGTAATGTTGAACTCAGTACTTCGGTGCAGATTTAGCAACTATATGCATCTTGAATTTTTGCAGAACTAATAAGCTAAATTCATATAGATATTAATGTGAAATTTTTATCTTGATATTATTGATATTTAGATGAATTTTATGAGATTTTACATGGTTTTCTTTCTTTGTGCAGAAAAAGACTTGATTGCATAATAATAGGAGTTCTTGAGATTAATTGAACATCTTTTCAAAGTTGAGGGACTTAATTGCAAGAAGAAAGGCACTTCTTTGTAGACCTGGCAAAAATACACATGACCCGTCAACCCGACCCTAACCCGACCTGGAAAAACGAGTTAGGGTCTACATATTTCAACCCACAACCCGTAGATAACTCGTATTATCAACCTGTACGGGTCATGAGTTGAGTTAAGGTCAACCCGCGAGTTAACAGATTGACCCGTTTGTTTTATTTTTTTTATTATTTTTAAAATATTATAC